GCCGTTTTAAATGTATTTACTGACAAAAATAACAACAATGATGTCCAATATCAACTGCTAGACCACGACTATGCGACGAAACAAAGTGACACTCGTTCACACATTGAAGAGACGCTGGCTACTGAGGCCCTTACTAAGCTTACTGGCAATTTTACTGATGAGCCGACACCGACGTCCGATGAGGATCCCTCCAGTAGTAGTGATCACGAATACGTCAATAACATGCATGTTAACCTGGTCGCAGGGTAGACGAGTGGTTGAACTTGTGATGTTATCTGAATACCTGGACCAGAAAGGTTGAATGCAGTACTAGGCTACGGTTGTGCAATACCCGACTGTTGTGTTTTTGGGTGATCTGATCACAGAATCACAAACAGCAAACATGGCTGATCAACGCATGGTTTTATTTACCCACAATGCAATTTCCATAAACAGACGTTGTACTAAGTACCGGATAGTAAACAGACTTTTCAGACCGACGAACAGCGACATGTAGTATGATTAGCATATCATATCAAATACACTACACCGACAGAAAAGACATTTTGGTCTGGGAAGTATTTTATACGTCTGGACACAATAGTCAGGATTATATTCTATATTTGTTATTACATGTATTTACCCAATAGGCCTTTATTTCAAGTTCCCTTTTTATATTACATACAACAGTGTTATTTTTACAATGTGATATTTTTATACCACAATATCGTATGTTGTTATTTGTACATAATGTAAAAGTTTATTATTGTTGTATAGTGTGATATTTGTTAAACCACAATATATATATGATGTTATCTGTATATAATGACAAAGTTTATTATTGCTATATAGTGTGATATTTTTATATCACAATTTGGTATGTTGTTATCTGTACATAATGTGAAAGATTATTATTGCTTTGTTCAGAATGTAAAAGTTTATTATTGTTGTATATAGCGTGATTTTTTTGTATATCACAACATGGTATGTTATTTGCCCATTATGCAGAAATTTATTATTGAAGTGTAAAGTATGTGAAACTTTGTTATTGTTGTTCAATGTGACATTTTTGCTATGACACAGTAAAGTACATTGTTTGTTATAATGTTGTGCAATTTTGTTTTATATTGGTTATTTGGAGTAATTTTAATGGTTGGTTATGCCTACTGTATTATATTCGTATATAAAAAGTGCTATATTGTATGTTGTAAATTGTATACATGACTTTTTGGGATTTATAATTATTATTGTTACAAATGTAAGAGTTGTCTCTCTTTTTTGTTTAGTTCTTTTGTATCAGTCCGCAAGATATTTATTTTTTGTCACCTATGTTTTCTTTTCGTTGTCCTAAACGTGTTGCATTGGCACTCGGAATTATATTGATTCATGGAACGGGCATTTTTGTTTGTTTTAGTATTATTGTTAGAAAATTGCTCATTTTTTTGTGTTTTGTTTATCAATATTGACATTGTTATTTTTTTTATGTGTTTTATTTCTAATAAACCATTTTTGCATCAAATAAAATGTATTTTGTTTCATTTTGTTCCATTGAAAAAAAAAATCGAAAAAAAATCGAAATTTCATAAAATCCCAAAAAATCTGAAGAAACTACCGCAAGGTATGGATTGTTGTTCAGAAATGATTTGGTTATGCATTAGCGATGCGCGTAGAAAAACAAAACAATGCCTCATTACATTTTTAGGCGGAGGGACGGGGATCCTTAAGCTGTATTGCTATTCTTAAAGTACATAACGATATAAAATTAGCTGTCATCGAGGATACATACGTAATCATAAACATGTATTTTTTTTTATAAAACCATATGAACTTGTTTACATTTAATCAGATAGTTTTGTCATCCGATTTTGATTGTTTTGTTTTTGTATCCTGTTTCGAATCACAAGCAGATTACAATATGTGTCTGACAAAAACGACGTAGCATGTTTTGTTTTGTATTGATGCAGCGTGTTATATTACATTAAAGCGAATATACAGAGCAAACAAGACTGATTGTCACCGACCTGAACAAGGACACAACTCCATGATCATCACCGAATACAAGAATCTACAGGGAAATAACATATGAACTACCATGGAATCTACAGGGGCAATCAATATACGTGTCATCATCGAATATACAAGGTCGAATAACAAACGGGTTATCACGGAAACTACCGATTCTAACCATACACGGGTTATTACGAAACTTATTCAGGTGAAAACAAACATACGGGTTATCAACGACTCTACAAAAGGTGAGAATAAACTATTTATCACGAAATTTAGAGGACAACCATCACATGAGCTATCAGCAAATCTTCAGAGTTATACACGTACTACTACATAATCAGCACGGGGGGGGGGGATCTGTCACGTAATCTACGTAGGGAACCAACACACAGGTTAAAACCGAATCACGTAATCTACGTAAGGAACCAACACACAGGTAATAACCGAATCACGTATTCTACGTAAGGACCCAACAAACAGGTTATAACCGAATCACGTAATCTAAACGGGAAAAATACACAGGTTATAACCGAATCACATAATCTACGTACGGAACCAACACACAGGTTATAACCGAATCACGTAATCTACTTAGGAACAAACACACAGGTAATAACCGAATCACGTATTCTACGTAAGGACCCAACAAACAGGTTATAACCGAATCACGTAATCTAAACGGGAAAAAATACACAGGTTATAACCGAATCACGTAATCTACGTACGGAACCAACACACAGGTTATTACCGAATCACGTAATCTACGTAGGGAACCAACACACAGGTTATAACCGAATCACGTAATCTACGTAGGGAACCAATACACAGGTTTAACCGAATAACGTAATCTACGTAGGGAACCAACACACAGATTATAACCGAATCACGTAATCTAAACGGGAAAACAATACACAGGTTATAACCCAATCACGTAATCTACGTAGGGAACCAATACACAGGTTATAACCGAATAACGTAATATACGTAGGGAACCAACACACAGATTATACCCGAAACTCGTTATCTACGTAGGGAACCAACACACAGGTTATAACCGAATCACGTAATCTTCGTAGGGAACCAATACACAGGTTATAACCGAATAACGTAATCTACGTAGGGAACCAACACACAGATTATAACCGAAACACGTTATCTACGTAGGGAACCAACACACAGGTTACAACCCAATCACGTAATCTAAACGGGGAAAAAATACACAGGTTATAACCCAATCACGTAATCTACGTCGGGAACCAACACACAGGTTATAACCGAATCACGTTATCTACGTAGGGAACCAACACACAGGTTATAACCGAATCACGTAATCTAAACGGGAAAACAATCCACAGGTTATAACCGAATCACGTAATCTACGAGGTAACCAACACACAGGTTATAACCGAATCACGTAATCTAAACGGGAAAACAATACACAGGTTATAACCGAATCACGTAATCTACGAGGGAACCAACACACAGGTTATAACCGAATCACGTAATCTAAACGGGAAAAAAATACACAGGTCATAACAGAAACACATAATCTACGTAAGGAACCAACACACGGGTTATGACCGAATCAGGTAATTTACGTAGGGAACCAACACACAGGTTATAACCGAATCACGTAATCTAC